TACAAATTATTAAAGTTTTAAAAGCATAAAACATATTGAGTGATAAAACCTGCTCATTTCCGGAAAATAAAATAGCAATAAGGTGGAATAAATCATGTGTTTATAAATATACATCAATAATGCATGGCACCGTAAAACTGCGCGACACGAACACTTACGAGGATCAATATATCGATCGATCATAGATCACGTTGATTCCGAAAAAAAAGAATATTGAACGTGCGCCGGGATTTATACAGCAGATTTCTACTGTAATTTAAGGTGCGACGTGAAATCTCGTTATTTTCACGATAATCGGCAAACTCTACGACCACCGAGACCCACTCGGTCTATCAGAGGAAGAGATAGATAGGAAAAAAGAAGTAAGAGAAAAAAAAGAGTGCGATTCCGAGAGCAATTTAACCGTCGACATTCTCGCGGTCGTTATAACACAGCGTGAGGAAAACTCCGTCGGGCGCCGTAAGAAAGAGGATGCGCTTACCGCAGCTCTCGCACGACCTTTTATCGCATACTTTATGCAGAACCTATCTACACACGCGCGCTACCTCCCTTCGTACAGCGAAAATTAATTTACCTCTCTCACTGCGAAGTTCAGCCAGCCGCGGAAACGCGTGAATCGTTTCGACGGTAGGATCATGAATAATCATTATGAATTCAACACAGCGACGCATTGCTCGTATGCTACGCGACGCCGGCAGCGCGGAAGAATATCGCTCGCCTCTTTGAGGGCGAAGTTTCAAACGGAATGCGGGAATGTCGTGAAACGCAGAATTAAGTGCAAACGATCATTTACGGCAATCGGGACTGACGTGATCAACAGGTGAATGACTAATTTAGACTTTTATCAGTATCATCGCATTATCGCGACAGATAGATAACGCATTTTATAGCACTTTAACGGTCTGACGTATTTTATTCGCAATCGCGTTTTGCAGTGCTGCTATGAACAACGATTTCATTGATATTGCGATCACAATTCTACTTGCAATCCTTACAAATGGACGATAAATGCAAACGCAATGTATTTTGAATCGATGAAAGCAATTTTACTTAAGAAGACTTCACTTTACCGCGCTACTTAGCTTCGAAATACTATCAAATTCGCCGTAAGAAAAAAATTAATTTGTCTGTGTCCACGTATATTTTTATCGGAGTTTACGGCTCAACCGCGACGAAATAAGTGACTATCAAAAAAGGGCGGAAAGGCTAAAAGATTAAATTCTTCGTACCGTCGTAATTGAGAAGTCGACGAATTACGCCCGGTGGAATTAACCTTTTTTCTTCATTAATGAGTCGCCGTAATCAACCCAGCCCGCTGTTATATGCTCCGGGCGATTTGGGCCACGTAATCTACGACGCGTTTCACTTAGCGCTATTTGTTATATGCGCATTTTATTTGAATAAATTTACTCAAGAATGTAACGTTAATCCGCGAATAAAAAAAAGAAATTGAATTATAATGCATAATCTATGTAGATATCAAAGTAGATACTAAAGTTAGTATTACAAATATATTTTGTTCAATAATATTATATATAAAATACTCTATATTTGTTTTTACATAGAATGTCCCAGAGAATCTTTATTTTGATGTTAAAAGCAGACATCTTGACAACTTAGAGTCGACTATTTTTCTCTCAGGAAAAATTTTGCAGAAAAGCTATTATTTGTTGCTATTTAACATTCAACCTTAATTATCTTAGTAATGAAACGTTGAAATAAAATTATGGAAGAACAAACACGAGTGCTTTGTTTAATAGACATATTATTTCATTTCTCGGGTTATTAAAGAAGAGGAACAGCAGAGGAAGAGAAGATAATTGCTTTTTTTCTATGTTCACAGTTTCAAAAATTCTTGCACAAAAAATATATACACGAGAAAAAACTTATATCTGAACTGAGATGGATTGGCGAAGACAGATTTACACCGATCACGAGTTAGACTTCTACCGATAGATTGAGTTAATCCGCTCGAATCCATCCTTCGATAAGTTTCGTAATTGAAATCGAAGAGAGACTCATAGGTAACGTTAGCACCGCGTGAAATTCGAGAGCGAATTCTGCTGGTAACTTCATGGACGGATAAAAATCAATTATAAGTATTTTGATTAATTTCCGAAGCTGGAGGAGAGCAGGAGAGAGAGAGAGAGAGAGAGAGGAGACAAAACTTGAACTACATCAAACTTCTATAAATATCACGCTGGCGGGGAATTAAAGCTGTAATGGACTATCAATCGAATATCGAATGGAACAGGCGGAAAATTCATTCTCGTTAACAACATTCATAATGAATTCTCATTATCGGCGGACAAGCAATTATAGAATTCTATCGGAGTATCGCTCGCGGAAGTAAAACGGCATTTGAAAATTTTTCCACGGCGAGTTGCCTTCTACTTAGATCGTTTATCCACGGGGAAGATCAACGCGGTTCCCCTACGTTAATTACGGACGTAACACGCGGACGGTTCCACCCCATCAACGCGTAAACTCGTCTTCGCGGACAGAGACATTTTTTATCGACGATCGTACGCACTCCTGAGAAAATAAATGATTCGCTTACGAGGAGGGCGTGAGGTCAATTAATCCGCAGAGAGGAGCGAGCCATCGGCACGGCAAGATTAATTAAGCCAAATTAAAGTGGCATTTAACAAAGTCTGGACGAGAAGGGTCGACGAAAAAAAAAGGCGCGAGACAAGCGTCGGCTTTGGTTGACTGACCGACGGGGTGACAGTCGTCGTCGTCGCTGTTCTCGCCGACTTGTGGCAGCTCGTTCGATGGTTTGCAGCTGCAAATTGACACGGTAGTAGCGCGGCTGACGTCAGCCGCTCATAAAAATAGGCGCGTTTCTGCCAAGACGGCCGCCGCGGTAGTGGCCCCACGGCTTTAACGACGAGGGACGAGGCCTAATTAAAACACAGCGTGCACGCCGCATCGGACCCTTAGAGAAACATCGTCGCTGATTAATTGGCACAATGATGCCCGCCACACGCTCGGCGGGCTCTAAGCCGCGATCCTCGGAATCCGCAGCGACGATGCCACGCGAGGTCGATGTGCCGTCTCCACGGCATGATCACTTGTATTATCTAATTAATATTGCGCGTTCGACCTTCTGCGGTCGGATTATCAGGTTTATATAAATTAACAAATATTAACAATATTACGAAATATTAAAAAAGAATTGCGTTTGGGTGAATTTGTAGAAAAAAATATCAATTGTAAATCGGTGAAACAAAATTCATAGAAAAAAATTACAATTTCAATGTTCACACATGTTCAAAAATATATTTCGCAATTCTGCGTTCTATCTTGTGACCCATATATATTCGGCATATTTCATTACCATAAATTTATTCTTCGGCTTTGCTCGTGACTTTTCTCATATCTCTCAAATATGATATTCCTGGCATTCGTGATTTCGAATATTGAAGTATTTTAGAATGCATAAATGGACAATGCGTCGATGCGTTAACAAAATTTTCGGGACTTTTATTTATTGTCAACAGAAACGTGCGATGTTTTCATATCAATAAGAGTCGTACCTCATTTTGCATCAAAACGATAGCGATAGCTGCCTCTTTACTTATATATTATTCGTCATAAATAATTGTAAAAGCTCGTCTTTGCGCCAATTACGTATGTTTATGCTACTTCATCTCGCTGCATTCATTTTCGCTAAAATGTGAAATCCGCTTAAGCACAATAAAGGTTAAATCCGTTTGTTATACAAATCCGAGGACGGTTTTGATGCAGGAAAATTCTTGAATTGCACTACCAACGGCCAGGTAGATTAATTATATCCCATACATGTCAATCTAATCCGCTTTTTGAAGTTGGAATAAGGGGAAAAATGGTCATCAAAGCGCCCAAGTAGAGATGCAACCCCAGGCGAGCGATTTATCGACAAATTTTCACTGGAAATTAAACCGCGTTACGCGTCAAGAGTACTTTTCACGTTCTATCTCCCTCTTTCTCTCTTTCGCTCTCTATTTTGACAATTGAATATCGAACACCAACTCGAAACAAAACTCGGTGAGCACCTGTCAAGAAACAGCAGTGCTGTATTGCAGACGTGAACTTTATCACGTACTTTACATTTCCGAAGTTCGGCGCGCGCGATAAATAATATAAAATCACGTCATGTATCACGCGCGCTGGTACCACCTGGCCTAAATACGTTTAGCGACTAGTCCCTCGTGTTTCGCGACAGACTAGACGTACAACAAGCGCAAACAACTTTACAAATCACTTTTCTTGATGTATGGGCCTCCCGACTTTGCACGCGATATCCCGTATCTGAGTCTCGCGCTATGCTTCTCTGTCAACACAATTTGATTAACTCTTAAACTCCAATCTAGGTTCCAAATTAATAATAACTCTTGAATACATACAATTCATAAAATATCAATAAAATTATATTAACAAAAAATCGTAATTTAAACTGCATAATGACAAATTATAATATTGTGTCGTAAATATTTCAAATTTTACGTTTGGCATGCATGCAAAATTTAATTAATAAATTTAATTAAATATATGAAATTAATTAGAGAGGAAAAATTAGTAGAAATTTGACATTTGGACATTAGTACATTTGACGTTAAGTGCTCGCTGTGAACGCAATCGAGACGCCCAGTGTATTTAAATTATCACTGACTACTTGTATCTACTGACGACTTGTATCTACCTCTTCAAATGTTTCAAAGCACAAATTACCATGAACTTTTTAAAGATTACCATATTGAATCAATTATGCGACCATCGAAATATTTAACAATGAATCCCTTTCAAGAGAAATTCTCAAAGTAGCTAAACAAATAAAATATAAACTTTATGCTCGAGGGAGCTTTTACATTTTAATATAAAAGATCGTATTCGTATATCCTCTCGCACATTCGCTTCTCGATTACGTTGAGATGGAAGGCAACGGTAAAGGTAAAGATACGTAAAAAGAAGATGGAAACGAAGAGCGTGTGAGAGATGACGCGAACGCATTATGCAACCTGCTGTATTGTTGATGTAGAACGCGAATGCGGCCAGGGCACCGTAAGTGCTGGAGCAGTGCGAGTCGCGATGGTCCACCTTGATGTTCCATCCGCACAGAGGTCCCTTGGGCGAGCTGACGTATCTCACCGCCAGCAGCACCGCTGGCAACACCCTCGGCAAGCTCTGTTCGTGGTGAGGATCGCCCGGCGCGATCACCGCCAACTTCACCTCGCCCTTAGACTGCACCGTTTGATTACCGCCGATGCACTCCCTCGGACTGGCAACCGGCGCCATCGTCGTTGTCGTTGTACCGATATCCGCGCAATGCCCCGCGCATAAACCCGACAGGGTCAGCGTCAGTCGCACTAAAACATCACTCGCGCACCACCGCTTTCTCGTCCGCGACGCCATCGCGCCCTTGGCGCACGTTACAGCTTTTTATCACGCCGGAGCTGTATCTATTTAATTATCACACGTCGCGACGCATCTCCCGGATTGCGGTCGGTGCCGCAAGAGGAAACGAGTCGCTCGCGGCTGCTCGCCGGGCGGCTGTCCACCGCGTTTTAGTTCTACTTCGAGTCTCATTTTGAATATTTCAACCTCAATACATTTCACGGCGACGTAATTCCAGTGTTCGTCGTCACGTTTAACGCGCATGTAACGATTCGCATCTTGTTAGACGCCCGACGTGATGATAAATAGTGTTTTGAGCGTTTGAAAAATTTCGAAATGATTAATATCTTCCGAGTCGTATATTTTAATCTCTTGTGTTATATTCTGTTGAATGTTTCCTCATAATGGAAAATATCCTCCTATTCTGCCCGAAGGAATAATGCACAGATTACTCTCCATAATTTTGACGGACGCGTTATGTTCTTGTTCATCTTCATTTACTCCGCACAATGCGCGCAACACAATACGCGTCATTGCATTAATGACTTCATAAGCAAATTGGCGTACATAATTTTGCTTCTTACTCAAAGTCTCAGATATCACTTTTCGCCGGAGTGGTTTATTATACCTTCTGATGTATTCCAATTTAACTTTGATGTAACAGTATAATCATTAGAAATGCCGAGCATTATACCTTTACTAATTACGAAATGCTCCTTACGCGCTCGACTGCGAGACTCAAACTAGGAAGTGAGAGATTTGTCTTGATTAGCTTCGGCACTGTGTAGACAATCATATCCGTTTTACGTGCTACACCGTGATTCCATTTACTTATAACATTTAAGTTCGTAGGAATGTTGGGAATATATCTTCGATTTTTTAAATCACGCGTAAATCGAATAAAAAATTTGCTTGTTCTTCACCTTAAAAAAATCACAATGTAATACGCAAAAACAATTTAATGGTGTTTTAACGACTCTCGCAGATACGACTTAGAATGTGTGGCGAAAATAGCTGCTTCTTATAACATAACAAATCGTCGTCACGTACCGTCCCTAATGTTTCATTAGTATTTCAGAGTAAATAAGATCGTGCCGACATTTCTCATAAGAAGATAAGAGTGCAAAGTCGTGTCTTAGTAATCTCTAAATAATGTCTAATAATCTCGAAAAAATAAAGATAACAAAGTAAACATGATGTATTAATATTTATTGCTATTTCTAAGTAATTAAAAAAAAACCAATAACTATCTATCAACGTGATTCAACATTAATTGACACGGTTTTATCGGTACCATAATCCAGTTAGAAGCCGCAACTTTTCGAGTAACTTTTCCGTATCGACTGAAGCAGCGGAACACGCGACTTGAAAGCCGTCGACAGACGTATCTGCGGGAAAGTAACGAGGGTAGCTAGCTCCTGCCTCGCTCTGCCTTTCTTAGTTTTCGCGCTGTGCCTTCAATGCGCGCGCAAAAGAACTGCGAGATGGAACCTTCTGAATTAAGGATGAAAGAATGTTATTTCACGAGGCAGTCGGAATGAACGGGACGTACGTGACTGTGCACGTCAAAATTTTCCAAGTTGCGATAAACGTACATCATGTAACATCATGTAACTTTCACTTTATCACCGCTGTAACGAGATGTAATCTAACTTTAACGTAGATTTATACAGCATCTAGAATAATACGCTATTTTTACACTGCCATTCTTCCATTTTGCTCCAAAATATCTTTACATTTTTACGCCTAGCTATGTTTTTTCTGTGTAAAAAAAATTGTTTCTATTAGACTGACAGAAACTCTAACGTCATTTACTTATCATTACAAGTTATCCTGACACGATAATTAGAAATTAATATCTATATTCCGTCTACAGTTAATATTGTAATACATTTAATATATATATATATATATATATATATATATATATATATATATATATATATATATATATATATATACGTTTTTATCATAATCCAGTTATTTGCTGGATATATGTTAAATACAAATGCAAAATAAATCATGGTATTCCGTTACAGCTTTAATCATAAAACGACGAAGCAGTAAGAAAACAGATTTACATCCTACATAATCCAGCAGAATTTTTCATCCGTTTGCTAATACCTAATTCATTGCTTCCGAGCACGTATTCGATCAACGTATATTTTATGCATAGATTTTGTGCGATAAAAATATACGAGTATATCATACTCGGGAGACACTTCGGAAGCTCTGATATCGATTACGTGACTACATATCAATGATAAGTCGCGTAAGACTCTTGTAATCATCAAAAAAAATCAACTGTTATAATTTACACTCGAATAACGCTTTGCACGTAGCCAGGATAACATATTACAGGTTTTCCTTATTGCTTGTCATTTTACTGAAATAGAATAATCGTCGCGCACATTTTTTCGACCTCGAAAAAAGTAGTTTCCGCATTCACCCGTTTTCTTAGTGGCATTGATTGATTTCAAAGACGACATAGAGCGATGGTCTTCGCTCGATCTATTCGCGATCAAGGATAAGACAGCGTGGAAATGACGTTCACGGAGTTCCTAATACAACCCATAATGGTTTCATTACGAGTTAGGCGGCTTCCGGAATGAAAATTAATCATGCCAGGTAAAAATCCCGCCTGGATTCCTTTAAAGTAAACGCCAAACTCACCAAATCAATTTCATTCAACCTTAATTGCAAATATAGTCTCCAATAATGCTACATTGGATAACTTCGTGTTAATAAAGAAAAATTTTGAAACGGTATGTAAATATTGTTATTTGCATACCTTACAAAAGAAACATTCTTTTACGAAAGAAAAACGAGATAAAAAAGTTGTATCTTTAGAAAAGCATGGATTTAGCGTTTGTTTTATATACCTGACCTTTTTTATACACTAAAAAGTGTTTTAAATCCTCAGAAAATAATGCAGGCAGCAGACAGTTAAACAACAGATTCGCTATAAAAGATGATAAAAGAATCTGATAGATTCCGAACAAAATAAAAATGTATATAAACACTTTATCCAGTAATCCAAGTCTAATTAAAATATCGTCGAAGAGAAACAAAATAAGAGTATACCTTAATATTCCTGATAATTAACTGAATATTCATAAAGTTAAGCAAAAAATGATGCTGCAACAAGTGGTACACTCGGTAATTCTATCGAATCCTTCCGTTCTTGAAGATTTTATCGATTCATAAAATATTACTTCATAAAAGAACTTCAATACCGAAAGAGAGCCATAATTAATCCTCGACATATTTTTTCCTGCAAATAATTTGAAGAAAAAGAAGGAAAAAAACATTCTACCGGAGTTACGCAGGTACGGCAACGGCGAGAAAAATGAACAAGTTAAAATCGCGAGGTAGGAGATAAGCTTCTTTGAAAACAAGAACCAATACTGCGAGTTGAAGAAAAAGGCGGCAGGAATAGAGCATTCTAAAAGAACTCTTATCCTTGGAACCACTTCTTATCCTTGGAAAGAGCACCAACTTCACATCAACGATAAATGCAAAGTTTTCTATGGCGGAAAATGCAGTTGGCATTTTGAAGCAATTATTATTTTCCAATTCAATAAATTTTCAGTTATTGAAACTGGATGCTCATTAACGGAGGTAAAATGAGAACTGGCATATCACGTATAGATCTCGCTTTTGATACGGTAAACGATTGCGCACGTCGAGCAATAAATATTATTACAAATACACACCGGCCTATCTTATTAATAATTCCGTCATATATTTACTGGTTAATTGATACATATCGAATAAGCAATATGGGATTAAAATAAACAACTTTGTGCATAATTTAGATCGTTTTGCGCGTAAAATTTGTACTAGGCGCATTCAAATCATTCAATTTGTTCGACATAAAGTATTATACTACAAATAGAGTAATTATATCATATAATACCTCAATCGAGGAGGAAAAAATCCAATAATTATGTGCTGCATACACGTTACAATTATTCCCGCTCTTACAGTGTTATATTACGTTATTAATAGATTCGATTTTCTCTTTCGAAGATGCATTCGCGAATTTACCTCATGATTCGTACTTTACGTGCGACACCACTTGTGATTTTCGTAAAGCACCACTTTCACATTCTCGACGTAAACTGCCAGAGTCTTGTCGAAGTTCAAGCATGGAGAACAGAGAATTAACGATCATCGGGAATTCACAAACGGGCGAGTTAATTAGCAGCTGCCGGGCAATGCGTCGTTTAATTAAATCACGGTTGACGGGGCTTATTAAAGAGCGGAACTTGTGTCCGTCAGAACGGATGTTCCAGTGAATATTACTATCACCGAAGGAATCGTGACCTAACGAGCGTGGCAAAATGGTGCCAATGTTTTTTCACTGATAAATTTAATCGAACCGTCACTGTCCGCAAGGGAATGTGATCCATCAAACGTGCAAAGCGAAACGCAATCGAAACGAATCGGTCGACTTCAATTGCGAAATTAATTACGAGTTACGAGTCACAAAAACACGAGAACGATACCGCACGAAGATCGCGTCGACGCTACTTGACTCCATATATTTGCTGCCACGAACTTTATCCCATGAATATCAAATGTACAAATCGTCGAAAGCTTTGTACATTCTCTGCATAGCGTACTCTATGCGTAGGTATTCACTCGGAATGTGCATCGTCGTCTCAAAAGAGGTGATATATGCATAGAATATGCATACTGCGAAAATTCTTATTGCCACCGATTTTATTCTATAAAGTTGCTTTGCATTGAAAAATAGCATGCGTATAAATTAAATATTTTACAAAATCTAATAATTTATCGTCAATGTTAATAGCTTAGATTCAATTTAAATTCACTCGTTAATCTAAAATAATTTAATATGGAAATACGAATTTCCACGTAACCATATAATACAGTAATTTATTGCATCTTTATATTTTATTCTAACGGTTTAACGTTTAATTACAAAATGTATTTTTAATTAAACGATTCGAACGTGTCTGAATTAAATCCTGTTAAATTCGCAAATAAACGCTATTTTTGAAATACAAGCACGTATCGATATTACTTACACATTAATCATACGATACACGCTTGTACAATTTAATGCAACTTACAATTAATGTGCATTTAGATGAGACATATAGTTGTAAAATGTATATTCGAAAGCTATAGTTTTTAACACATATTCTGCATCTTGCTCTGCATAAATGAAAAATATATTTAAATTTTAGAGTGAGACTTTTTTTCAAAGCTTGTTAATAACAGAAATAACGCAGAAATGTGCTAGGTAATAGTATGCAATCAATAAAATGAGAATAAATAGAAAATATGTGTCAAAGTAAAAAAAAGTATGTAAAAATATGTAAAAATAGAAGTAATGGAAAAAGTATGTATAATAAAGTACATCGAAAATTCACTTGAAAAATGCTTAACACGCAAGTTACAGTGCCATAAAAAAATCATATACATAGTGATGGCTCCATGTTTTATTATTCACAGCTTGTATAACTTCATGGCTCATATTTGACGCGTACGAATCCCGAAAATTTTTATCGGAGTACCTACTCACATGACGCAAACGATATATCATCTTTCATCGCGTGCTCGACACATCGTTATACGATATTTTGAAACAAATGTCTAATTCCGCGAAACAAACTCGGGGAATTCTTATAAATGCGTGTTCTCAGCGCTATAACTCGAAGAGAAAAGTTTCAGAGAGGTGTGAACTTTCATTTTTACTTTCTTACAGAAAAATAATCGCCAAGTTTTCGTACACAAATATATTTCTTCTACTTCTTCTTTTAACTTTTGACACGTGTTTTCTATGTATTCTCATTTTATTGATTGATGTTCCGATAAAGTTACTGGCTGCTATTATTTTTTTATTCAATTTGTTTGCATACTATCTAGCACATTTTGCGTCATTTCTGCTATTAACAAGTTTTGAAAAAGTCTTCTTCTAAAATTTAAATACATTTTCCATTTATACAAATAACTAAAAAATTAAATGGAAAGTTTTTCTAAGCACAATCACAATATCACGATCATAATATTGTATGCATTCTGCAGAATCGGACTGGGCAGAAAATGCTTCGGAAAAGAATATGCAAAGCGCCAGCTCTCCTTGAATATGTAACATGAGATTATTGAATAGAAATTTTAGTAAAAAAGATGCAACAAGAAAATAACGCATATGTAATAAAAGCTATACATTTTTAATTTCTGCAAAATTGTTGTGAATGCAAAAATCACGAATATGAAGAAGGAAAATTAAATTGTACAAAAAAGATTAAATTAGATAAAAAAATATAAAACTGTATTATGAAATTTTCGCAATGCGCACCTAGCGCTTACTGTTTTCCATATATTTTTTATTTTGTTTTAAGATAAAAAATTATACTTAATTATTATTAACAACATTATGCAAAATACCAGCATTAAAAATCATTTTTTATGCGTTATATTGTTACTTTTATTAATAATAATCTATGAGTAAAAGAATTTTGCATTTGTAAATATGAAAAAATGATTGTTGATACCAAACTGAAATATATAAAGTACAAATAGGGAAGATTTCTTTGCCGAATAGATTAATATTTTTATGTGCTACATTTAAAATATAAAAATAAATATAAATTTTAAAAATGAGATAAACAACACTTTCTTGCAGATTCTATAAAATATCAAGTAAAACAAGAATGCTTAAAAAGTATTATATACAAATATGATTTTCTTGGGATTTTCCCGAAAGACAAATTCTGTGCAATTCTCAAAAACGGATTCCAGTAAAAACTATATTACTTAAAATATTATTTTAGTTTTCAAAAAAAAACAACAAAAAAACCCACGAAACATGTTTTACTTTTGTTTCGTTTTCTCTGGAATTGTAGATAATAGTGTAAAGAGGTTGCTGAAAATTTCCCCACACTTCCTCTATCCAGTTCAATAGCAGCCATTTTCACCTATATTCTTCGCTTCCCGGATTTGTCAAGCGCACAAAGTGTACAACAATCTGCCACCGTGCCATTTTCGTATACATGTGAATGTGCATTCTCATTCGATACACGTACCTTTCGAACAAGAAATCGCACCAAAGTTTACACGTGTCCGCATTTACTATACACTGCGCGACGAATGCAATCTGGGGTTTCCCGAATAACTATACAGTTCGACTGTTCGCAGTGAGATGGAATAACGAGATGGGCGTCACTGTAACTCTGACGTTTTGCTATTCTCATTCTCGCGGCGTCTCCTTAAAGTAAAAGCGCGGAAAAACGGAAGACGCGACGTAGATACCTGCTACGTAAAAAGCAGGTCGTTCTTGATTAAAAAAGTGTTTTTGCGCTTTCCAGTTTTGTTGGCAGCAGGTATTTTTGACATTGTGTAACTTCTCAAAATCCATGTGAATTATAATTTAATTAGAATTTTATTACGTACCAAATTGCTTGCGCGTGTCTTAATTTTATGATCAATTTTGCGCGCCGCAAGTATAAAATTCTCCGACGCGTGAAAAACGATTAATAAAATTTGCTGTAATTGATATAACGGAATTAAGTGTCGAATTAATGCACAAATAAGCTTGATTCACTTAGGATTTGAGAAACAAGGACAAGAGATACTCGTGGAATTTAATCGCGTTTTCTCAAGGCTAACAAAGCTGGCAATTTAATTAATTTGATCTCTGACAACATTTCGACTGTTCTGCTAAAATATTTAACATACGGTAAACTGCGCTCAAAGCGTAGCGTTCACCGAAACGCAAGCTTCGAATTATGTAATCACGTAATTATGTTTCAGTTATGAAAAACACATGCAAATTAATCCCTTTGCAGGAGTGAGGCTTAACGGTCCTACGACGTCTTTGCGTCGAAAGATTACATAAAATTTGCGTATAAGAAGCACCTCGACGATTTGGCGGACAACGTCAGAAATTGTTCCCGGTTTATCGCGACTGACAAAAGATATTTCAAAACAAAAACCGTACACCAAATATAATGCATAAATTGGATTCAAAAACAAATTAACTTAATTGCTAATAATTGCGATTAAATTGCGAATTAAATTCCAAAGCTTTTACAGTAAATAAACTAACTAATAATAATTGGTTTTTTAATTTGTAGTTTCTTTCATGTGTAAAAGAATATAATTTTTAACACACATACACGCGCACTACTTGAAATTAATGTCAAAAGCAGAAAGTTATAATTTAATTTGCTAAAAATTCACGATCATTATCTAATATCTCTCTGTTAATTTTCCATAAATTTTAACATTCTTCTTTCGATATTAATTTTAAATATTACGTTTTTTGTGCATGGTTTAAAATTGAAGTTAAAAGCACGTTAAATCTTTATCGATTTATATATTTAAAATGAATAAAAAAAGTAGACTGTTTAACAATATATCCCTTATTATTTATTCTAATACTCAAGCATATTGCCTGCGAAACACTCAACGTTAGCCTCAAATAAGGCAATTTCGTTTTATTTGTGAAAGTCACGAACTGATCCTTCTGCGAAGCAAGACTAAATCAACCTAAAGCCTTTATGACAAGGTGGGATCATATAAAATACGCATAACAAATACGCTTGGTAGCTCAGTCAAGCGGCGAATTCATATCAGATCGTTCGCGCTCGATCGCAACAAAAAGTGTCTCAGAGCGAAGTAAAAGCTAGCGCCATATGTGTACACGAATATATTTGCTTCTGTTGCCAATATAAGCCGGGGTCAAAAGCAAAAAGCAAAAAGTTCGAATATTTATTATCACAGCAGCTGTTTTCTCGTCATCTTGCACGGTTTTTACGACTCGCGCAAATCGCCTCGTTTGTTTTTGCGCCCGCGATTAATGTTGCTACAGAAAAACAAAATAATTTGCGAAACTACGATCACGATTTCGGATTGAATAGCATACGACGATAAAAATAACACGCAAAGTCGAAATCACGAACCACTGTTTTTTGCAAGCTCTTCTTCAAGATGTGACAGAAGAGCTTGAAACCGATTGTATATTATACATTTTTTAGCACTATTTTTTAATAATATTAATTAAAAAATTCTTTTAATTCTTTATGTAAAATTTTTTACATACTTAAAATTTTTTAATACATGGAAAAGTGTCTAAAACGCTTAGCAGTGGGATGTCACGTGCTTTCCGGTCGAAAGAAGAAATAGCTACACGCACGAATGAGCAATTTCGAACTCGAGATATCTCGACAAGACAAATGAGGAAACCTTGTACGAAATCTACGCGTCTTACCAGACCGGTGGTCCTTTTAACGGCAAAAGACACGCGTGTATCGAACTATATCGCTTGCGACCGTATCTTTAGGCATTACGTGTCCGCGGCACAATGTTTTTCAGCAGCTTTTTCACTGCTAAAACGATTTGTTCACTATATCCAGCTACATTCGCGAAGATCAATCATCGGACTATCGTCTCTCGCGATATGATTTTCATTTAATCGCGTCACAAGACACGTGTTGCACGCGTTCATATCTCTCGGAAACAGCCGGTCTCGTAGACAAATCGATGATAGCATCGCGATCGAGACTGATCGATGCGCGATCGGGTCGATCGCAGCGTCCAATCTTCCCTTCTGTCACATTTTTCGAAATAATTATTCATCGTTCCGTTTGACCCATCGGACCGCTGCGATCCACGTATCGGCTCCGTTTTCTCGATCGATCGCGACGTAATCGTCTCGATCACCACGACTCCCGGGCTTTCGGCTCGCGCTCTCTCGGAGCAAGCTCGGAGCGCGCGATTGAAACTGAGAGCGAACCGAAGGAAAGCACGGTGCTCCGGATCGCCCACCGAAGTCGACGATCGCTCCTCCTCTCCGTTCTCATCTTCTCTCTCTCTCTCTCTCTCCCTCTTTGCGTCTCTCTCCCTACCTTCTCTCTTTTCCTCCCTTCGATACCGCCGCCCCCTACTCCCTCTTCTCTCTTTATCCATCGCGCGATCTGTCTATCTGTCTATCTTCGCCACCGGGTCTCTCTTTATCGCACCCCCACATCGCGACACGCCAACTCGCTCTAGCCGAGCACGAGTGTACCACTCGGAGATCGTGTAGGTGGACGTCGTTGTGCGCCTCCACGAAGGTAGACAACGAGGAAGCGGAACGCATGCGTCGATCCTCCGTACACCCTCCGAGTGCACACCTTTCATTCCGCACCGAATTGCCATGAAGCACGGATAGAGTGTTTTGGAATATCAGACGATAAAAATAAAATCACCACCCCAAAGTATTCTCTCGCCTTAAATATCGCAAACAAATATCTCAGAAATAAATCCCCTGATAGAGAACGACAGGTATCACTTATTTTCAGCAAAGTTTCTATCAACTGTCTTGTCTTGATTTTGTCTGTGCGAGATTTACGAAAAACAAAATTGCAGATACATACTTGATAAGACGCGTTGCATTGTGAATAGAAGGATTTGCGCGAATTAAACTTCGATAATATAAATGGATTAGAATGCAAGTTTGTTGCTTGGTTAATTTTCACTTAACTTTAACTTTACAGAAATTGCATTTGGAACTTATTTGCGAACAAGTCCAAAGTTGGAAATGGAAAAATTGCAACGAGTAAATATCTCGCTCAACATTTTTGTTAAGAAATTAAAAAAGAAACGTCAATTTCAAACTTGCCATAGAATCTGTTGTCAAAATACGTTTCAGTAGCTCAGAGATACGAAGGCTTGATAACATTTGATTGAATCTTCCTGTAAATATTAAGATTTAAAACGTTTTTTATTTTCTTTGTACAAATAGCAACGCACAAAATGTCATATTAAATATTTATTTAATGTCTTGACAACGTCAAGAACATTTTAAACATTAAAGGCAAATAAATTTTATCTTGTGAACATAAATCTATTGCCTCAAGAAGTGACAAAAAAGTTTAGAGAGTGTTAATATCTCGGCAAAAATATAATGGGACGTCTTCCTATCGCACGCTTTTATCGATAACATACCACTCTACCTGCATGCCCGCAAATATTGCAGAAATAGATTTTACAGTATCTGAAATCACGTACGCGTAACAATACTGAGTGGGAATTATCGATTAATCAGAGATTGCAATCACTAAATGTGTGTGCCGAACAAATCTATTCTTCATTACTAGTTAACTTCTGGCATAGATATGATACTTTCTAACATGTAAAAGCAATATTATTAGAGAATCACGAAGTAGATAAAGAATGATTGTTTCTTGAGTACGAAAATACTAATAAATAAAATGAAAGTTTTAGAGTGATATAAGAGACTGCTGAAAAATATGTAATCACAGTTATTAAAAATGTATGAAGATACTTATATTTATTGGGTCTGACATTCCTTTCTATTCTAAATTATTTTGCAACCATAGTCACGAGTGCGTGTTCTTTTCACATCCATTATTTCTGTCAAGATTGGTTCTCTGATCTTTGAAGTGAAACTGTCGAACTGTCGAACATGTCATTTACGCAACAAGTTGCCTACGTAGCCCTTTTATCGTTCAAAATAGCTTTCTAACTGATGTGAAAGAGAGAAAGGAAGGAGGGAACCATCGAGATATATCTATCGTAACCAATATTCAAACTCAAATTTGCACAAATCAAATCAATCATGATAGCAATATTAAAAAATAGATATCATGACGACATATATTTAAAACGCACACACACAAAGATTCTTATAAAAGAAACAGAGAGAGAAACTTTACGAAATACATATATGTAGAATTTGTATTAATCTGTTCGAAGCATTATTAAATACCTGCCAAAGTTCTGATTGAGACATTCGTGTATTTTAACAGCAATTTAATTTAAAAACTAGTGAAAATATTTGAAAACAACTACAGACACAATGTAAAGTATTCTAATGAATGTTTGCTAAAAAAATATAGGTTCTAAATCGATAAAAAATAAACAATAAGAAAACGGAAATGTAGAGAAAATAAAGCACTATACATTTTTAATAAATATCGGGATATAGTTATATGCAGATGCTTTGCATCGCATGGTCGTTAAAATTTTTCTTAAGACTCCTAACCGTTCCTTCTGGCGAGTTCGGAAAACTTAAAAGCACTCGCTTACGTTCTTATCATCAAAGACATAACTTTTGATGGTACTCGCTCTCAATCTTAATGCTCTTATGCCACTCAATTTTGCTGCAAACTTGCGATATTTGTGCGACGCGCAAAAAATTGACATAAGTACTTATTTGCATATACTCTCGTAAGAGCACACGTCTACTGACGATGCATTTAACAGCATGTGCAGATATAAGCATTTATGACCGATATATTTTACGCATGACATTCACAAATATCAACTCGTTTTGCATTGGATATGTGTGAGTGACACTCACGTTACTGCATGTAATAAAGTTCTCCAATTTTCAAGTTATATGAAAGCGCTTATTCTCTTATCTCTCGCGCAACTTACACATCATAACTTTTCCCACGACATAGTAACGTATAGGAAAATCACAAGTTATAATATTACGCTGAAACTTCAATACGTTTCGTGCCGCGCAAGTCATTAAAGATCCACGCTGAACTTTCCGTTTTATTTAAAATAAAAATGTTTTATATTTCTTATTTATCTTATATAATATTTCTTATCAACAAATTAATAAATCTCACAATAAAAATTCCATAAATAAAAGGTATAAAATTAGCGTGGTGCGAAACGTATAAAGTAGTATATTTATATAAGCAATACAAAAATAAAAATTATTTTTCTTGCCTTCTTTACAAAACTGTAAAGAACAATTTAACTGAGATTGTTGATATTCAGAAAAAAAGAAATAGTTTTAGATATATATTGATAAAGATATTATAAATCTTCATATCTGCATATGCAAATGTTATATAATACAAGATATTTTTGTTATATATTTAATCAAATTTTTATGGAAAATTTTATACTTCTTTTACTGTTGCATATATTGTTACCAATATAAATTTTTACCGACGCAAGATCTCTGTCTCTCATAAAATTCTACGTAAGATATTTTCAACAGTTGATAAAATACTTTGGCACGCGAAATATTGATTAATATTTGCTAATACTGTCAACTTATATCAAAATATAGATTGTGTTTTACGTGTTTTGTTCATAAAATATATATCTTAATAAAATTCAGTCTATTTATACCTTTATGAAGCACGTTACAAAATTATCTATCAACAATTATTTTTATTTCACTTATCAGTTTGCTTCTATTATAGAATTTTATCATGCACATTTGTATTTATATGTGACAGACGTTATCATCAAATGAAGGGATAATCCCGGACGAAAATCCTTGTAACACTTTAAATAGATACCGATAATCGTGTAAATTCATTAAGGAAATGTTTAAATATATACGTAATGACGTGTAAAGCCGTGTGAGAAGATATCAATAATAGAAATGTCCAAGCATGATAAGTTACGCGATAACGTGCAAAATGATATGATAAGGCACGGTTCACCTAATGATTAACGAGAATTAAACAAAAAATGACGCAAATACTTTTATCCATTAAAGATGTTACAAATAACAATATCCGCTCACTTATAATTATATATTTTGCATTCAATAATTGAATTTTCTTAACAGTGCTTCTACAATGAATTTGCCATTCAAGAAATAGAGAAGCTTTTCGTAATGTAATTTAAATATAAAGTAATATAATTTTAAAGTTAATTTTATTTTTGAGATCACTGAGATCTATATACTTTTGCAAGATTTATCATTATGTTGAACATTGAGAAAAAAGTAATTACGATCCCGAAATGAGAGAACGGGAACAACAAGAATTATAACTATGGTAAAACCTCTCGAGATGATTAATGTGTGGCATGTATCACCTTTCCCTCATGTCACCCGATATGTATATTGATTGTTGTCGAATTTATAGCGAGTGTTTAAAGCAACGCTTCCATTAATGGAGCGATTCGAAAATACACTCTCTCCAACAAACTGTTGTTTTTTTTATATTATCGATTATTAGATAATATAAAAATACAATCATCCTATACGATAAAGCGTGTGATTTGAAAGTATTTCAACATAAAAAATAATTACTCTTGCTAGTATAAAATACTGATAAAATGCATATTAATTTTAGATGTATCGTCAAAGTACGACAAATTAAACTACAATATTAAATTACAATATTAAATTGTAATTTTTTATTTATTAAATGATATTTGCATATTAATCTTTATGCGATCGCAACCATATGTCTTGTTGTAAAAAACCGAGTAAGTAAATATAAAAGATTAGCAGTATACTTATCTCTAATTTGTCAATTTAAAGTAACAAAAGTTATATTTAAATACTTGTTTACAACGTTTGGAGCGTCATTGTCTACGATTCAATCAATTAAAGCAAAGTTATGCGATAAGTATATAGAGATAAACATGACGCGATGATTAATATCTCCTTAATCTAAATTCAATGTAATGATATTTTTTAAGAGGAAGAATAATAATAGATCATATATGATAATTATGTCGTTATGTGAATGAGAGTGTATATATCAGTAATTAACCCTTAAATCTGTACAAAGTCTTTCATATTTCTTAAAAAATCATCTTTCTGCTGTGCTTTCAAGCAAAAAACTTTTGACATAAGTAACGTAATAATTATTTTTAAAAAATTACTCACCACTGTAGAAATGGCCAACGTGATCTCTTAAAGCATCCGCATAATCACTAGGGGTTGTAGCTTCAACGTCGAAAGTGCCATAAGTAATGTCGTGCTCCT